TCTCTCTCTCTCTCTCTCTCTCTCTCTCTCTCTCTCTGTCTCTCTCTCTCTGCAGACCAGTTACAGTGAGGCAAGGCACAAGAACCACCGGCCCCTTCAGTGGGCTTGGGTGGTAGTAGGATCAAGGATGCCACACAACCCTGGGGGTGCTGGGAAGGACCTAAGGAAGTACCCCCAGGCCCTGTGAATGGCATTCTACTGGTAGAACAGGGTGGGAGTCTTGCCATGTAACACCCAGGTGATCCTAAATACAGCCTCTCCCTGGGAGAGTTACAGTGGATCCTGGAATTCCAAACACTAATAACCCTGAAATCAAAGAAACTTGGCCTGTTTGATCCGGCATGCTCCACCCACCTCCCCATGTGTAAACTGTGAGAGGTTAAAGGGCATTGGATTTTTTTCCACAACAGTCTGGAAAATATGGGGTTACTCTGCAGAAACCCCTGTACAGCCCGAACCCAGACTACAGTGACTTCTTATTGGCCTGACATCAATTGGGAATGACAGACTTGGTTGGCTCAAGACAGTTTACTCCTTTTCCTTGGGAAAGCCAGAACAGTTCATCTTTCCAGTGGTGGGAGAGAGGCACATCTGGAAACCAGCCACTTCAGGAGTCACTTTTTTCTTCTACAGTAGAGGACATGAAGGAGAAATGTCACCCAAAGGCCTAAGAACAACCCAAAGCAAAGAAACTCCAGGCAAAGCTCATCCTACGAAAAAGTGCTCACAGATATGACATCAGCATGGCTAGATCAGGGCATCAGAGCAGCAGGCTCTCAGACAGGCCCAAGAGGAGGGCCTTTGCAGCTTCACCATTTCAGATGGGAAAACCCTGCCTGAAGAGCACCTGACCACACTCAAATCCTGTCCACTCAACAGCATCGCCTTCTCACCTCAGCCTCCAAGAATGCACACACAAAACACCCTCCAACACTTGTGAGCAGCTTAACCCCACAAAGATCAAGAGTCCACCAATTATTTGGTTTTAAAATATTTGTACAGCCATAAGTCACATGAAATACTGATGCGTCTCTTTTAAGAACTCACCCAGAAAATCCATGTTTATAAAAGTGAATAATCCTCAGCTACTTACCACATACTGGCTTATAGAACACTTATTTTCAGAGCAACAGGGAAAACACACACACATACACACACACACACACACACACACACACACACACACACACACACACACACACACACAAAAAACAAACATCAAAACTTACCATTCCAGGCTGCCCTGGGAAAAAGACCCAGTGCCATCACCAAAAGGCAGGCAGCAGAGGACCAGCAGCCTGTTGATTCAAATTTAAATCACAGGCTGAGCCCAGGTGTCCCCACAGAGGTGCGTGTGTTCTCACTTCCATCCCTCTGCATCATGGCCAGCTGGAATTCTGGCGATGCAAGAATGAATACAGGTCCCCTGGGGGGCAGTGCCTGCTGCCTCCAGAGACAGACAGTGGGTATAAAGAGGAATGTGTCTCAGCTTGCTGCTCTTCCTTCAAAAAGGTCAGCATGTCCTAGTAACACTGCCCACTTCAAGAATTTCCAAAACCCAAGAAGATGAGGTCCAAAACTTAAAAACGAGACAAGTTTCTGACTGCAGCTGGTCTTCTCTAAGATCTCTGTGCTCAGATTTCTAGAAGAGACAGCCAGACCCGCACACCCAAGGACTCCTGCAGGGGGAGCACTGGAGCACCTATACTCAACCCAGCTGCTGTTTTCTGCCAGGACCTCTGTGAGCAGTGAGTGTGCAGTTACCTGGATTAGTGGGCTCTCAGTCAGTAATGCTTCTCTGCGCTCAGAAACCCACCCCCAGATTCCAGGGTCGGAAAAGTGTCCCCCGAACCCTCAAAACATGGAGAAGAGAGGGCTCGGCTTTCACAAGAGATGCAAGAAGGGCCATGTGGAGACAGATGAGCTTTACCCTGCTCCCCTCATGTATACTGACCTAAAGAAGAAATGCTGGTTACTACTACAACAGGGTTTAGACACTTGGTCTACAACTCAGGGGTTGGCAGGGCAGACAAATGCTCAGGCAGTATTTTGGGCTTTCAGATGAAATGACCTCTCTGGAACACACCCAGTTCTGCTACTGTACTGCCAACATGGTCACAGATGTAGAGAGCATGGCTGTATTCCAATAAATCTTCATTCACAAAAACAGGCAGTAGGCCATAGTTGGCAGGTACCTGGTGTGTGAGATGATCTAGACCTCAGTCTTCTGTAGAGAAAGTCATCTTCCTGAATGACAAATCGCCATCAAGGCATGAAGACCCCTGAACCCTCATAGAAGAAAAGCAATCAAGATCCTTGTTCAGAAACCCGAGATCTGCGCACAGCACAGGAGAGCAGCAGGAGCTGCTCTGTTCAGATCCGAAGGGAACACTTAGAGACACAGGGCAGGCCGGCTCCAGGAGACATTGTCCAAGGCTTCCTGCGATCTGTACCTCGAGCCAATGGTGTGGCCTACCAAGACGGACACCCTTCACACAGCCTCCTCCGCTTTCCACTCCTCTCTCAACGAGGCTCCGACAGCTGTCTTCTCCTGCAGAGAGCTCACAACCAGAAAAGCCAACCACAGCTTGATCCCTCAAGAGCAGAGCTGACCTGACTGGAGATCCGGCACCAAGAACTACATCCCGACCAGAGGCCCCCTGCCCTCTAGTTCATAAAAACATGCTTTGAAGAATAACATTTATTGTTCACTAAAAATTTCTGAGCCTGTTTTTCTCTTTCAGGAAGGTGGAGCAGTCATGTCAAAAACTCACTACTGTACCTTAGATACACACTGACTTATCTCCAGGGGCCTGGAGGGCCAAAGACAGGGCTCAGAGACCAGGTCCACAAACATGTATGTCAAATTCCATGCGACACTGAGACCTGCCACCATCCCTCCGCATAAGCTACAGCATTAGCAGTGAATGGCAAGATCAAGTGGACATCAAATGACATCACTGGAGACATAGATGAAACCTTTATACTATACGAATGACCTCAGGAGCCTTACCCGCCAGGCAGACACTGCCACGTTCCCGTTTCCTGTTGGAGCCCATGTTTCAAACAAGACCCAGCCTACTGAATGCTGACTGTGGATCTTCCGAGTGGAGAAAGACTTGCTGGTGCTGAGGAAGAAGTGTGTATCATTCAAAACACGCTGCTTCTGCTTTCTCACACACCTTTCTTAAGCAGATTTATGCCCTTCAAAACAATCACTGTCCACTTGGGAAATGGTACAATGGAATCAGAAAACTTACGAGGTGTAAAGGTTTATTTTTTGTGTCCAAATGAAGGAGCAACCATGAGTTGTTGGGCTTACCATTTGCTAGTCAAAAATACGGGATGAGCAGACACCTAATTAAGCTCAGGGTTGGGGTTCTATTTGGCTCTGATGGGGCCCAAGACCAAACATCCTACATTCAGGGAAAGTGAAGGTCATTTCGATGCCACAAAGTAGAAGAGTAGGCAGCAAAGAATGAGCATCACTGTTCTCAAATAGTTTTGTCCATGGCCAAGAACAGCTAGAAGGCATTCACCTTCTCCACTGCCCATGGGCTGTTAGTGGTAGACATGATGGCTTGCTGTCTTGCTTTGTGTGGAGAGTCCAACAGGCAAAGACACACCCTTGCCAGGCAGGAGTTAACCTGCCTCACATATCTGACTATATGGGAATCTTGGAGTAACTGCTTTTCTTTGTGAATACCCTCCTCTTTGCAGTCAGGCTCCAGGGGAGTCCAAAGCCTCCACACCTTGGTGCGGATTCCTCACAAAATACACCTCAGATCCAGCAAGATCTCTACTTTAGACAGAAATAAATCGTTGAGTCCATTTGCAATCCAAATTTGTTATGGTCACATTACTGGGCCAGGTCTTGGAGCAATTTCTCAGCTTTGACACTGCTTTGTGGACCTGATCATTCATATGCAGTGCAATGTAGGGTATTTTACAGCATCCCTGGCTTCTACCCACAAGATCCCAGGGCCATGACACACAAAAAAACATCTCCAAAGATTGTCAGATGTCTTGAGGATCAGGGTCATCCCCATCTATGCGTTGGATTCTGTCTATATAGGAAATACGTAGGGGTTTCACATGACTATTAAATGTCACCAAGTAGGAAAAAAATACTACCAAGTATATCTGATTTTGGCTGTCCCATCAAAAAGCTTTCTGCATCACCAACCCTGTGCAGTTTCCTGAGGAAGGACCACAGACAACTTTCTAGGAGGCCTCACAGCTCCATCAAACCAGGCCTCTCCTCAGAGCTCACCTCATCCCAGTCCCTGTACTTTACATCACTCCAAGACACTCACTATCATCCCCCCATGATATCCATGCCAGGGTATCTGAAAGCTTCCTAGAACAAACCAAAATCAGACCTGGGGCCTGTGCTCTGCTCCATCTATCATACAGAAGGCTGAAGGGATGTCACCTAAGACCACCTCCCGCCCCTGAAGTGCTGGTTCTGAGCCAGCTCACTCCGCAGCCCAGGCTAAATAGCCAAAGATGCTACTAGCCAGGAACCCACATGAAGGCCAACTTGCCCAAGCAGGAAGTGTCAGCAGCTCACAGATGAGAAGACTGCGAAACTAAGGAACACATTACTAATCAACGCTTTTCACTCGCTGTACACTGAACACATTAGAGGGCCGTGAAATGATGTCAGATTAAAAACATGACTATTTTGTGGAAAACCTGCTACTTGTTTTCATAAAATAAAGTGCTATGACATAATACCCTCATGTTACATTCTCATGATTTAATTTTACTACTACAAGGAAATACAAAGTGGCTGCTGAGCTGGAAAGCTTTCTCTACATTATTTTGGAATTAACACCAACATATTTCAACAGAGAAAAAAAAAGACACCAGTTGGATGGGTTGCATCCCCTGGATTTTAACAGTTGAGTCCTTTATTTAGGATGCAGTAGGCCTCCCACAGAACCCAACAGATCACAACAAAGCATCTCTTATCTGGTTTGATGTGATCCAGTGGATCATAACAGTTTTTTTCATCAAATGGCCAGTGTTAGTATGAAAAATGCTTGAGAAGATCCAGGTAATCTCCCCAAAGCTTTGAGAATAATAGGAATGATCTCTGGCATCACTGAACCCTTTTTGTCCCAGTCCTCATCACAGCTGCTCTTCGTCCTCGTCCTCTTCCTCCTCCTCTTCCTCTTCCTCCTCAGATGCATGGCTCTCAGATTCCTCTTCTTCTCGATCCAAGAGCTTTTTAAAAACCTCAAACTCCTCAGCAGAGGAACACGCTGTCCTGACTAAAAACTCAGCTTCTGAAACTCTGAGAATGTCCATTAGTAAAGGATTAGGGATCTGCGTCTGCCCCTTCTTATCAGGGGTTTGGTACCGTCCAAGGCGTTCCAGGTATATGTGTCTCTGCTTGATCTTGGTTAATGGATACTGTAAGAAATCAGTCCTGACTATGTCCAGATGCGTAAGTCCCATCCTAAAATATGCATACTGGAAGATACAAACATGTTTAGGAATCTGTGTAGAGAACCCTAAAGTTCATCATTCCAATTCAAAACAAACTTTAGTCCAAAACATTAGAAAAGAATTGCCCAATTAGTAATGGTAGAATAGCCCTCTCTAATACCAACACTTGTGAGAAGTCTGACAGTTTTCAAAGCATTTCCAAATTCATGCTGAGAAAAATGCAGCAGAAAACAAAGCGGTGTAGAGGGATATGTTTTTCTTTAAACAGGGGAACAAAAATCATGTGTAGAAAAACCCAATGCAAAAAAATCGTAAGATACCTAGGAATTTAAAAATGTGTGAATACACAGTTTGTGTGCAGTTATTTGAGTATGTCACAGAATGCTTGTGAAGGTCAAAGGCCAGCCTAGCTGGTTCACAAGCCTCTACGAATCCTCCTGTCTCTACCTCCCAACTCCCCATAGGGGTGCCAAGGCATACATCCAGTTCTCACATGGGTTCTAGGGATCTGAACTCAGGTCTTTATGCCGGCACAAGTGTTTTCGTTTGCTTGCTTCTTCTGTTTTTTGAGACAGGGTCTCTACATTGCCCTGGTCGCCCTGGAACTCACTATGTAGACCAGGCTGGCCTCAAGCTCAGAGATCCACCTGCCTCTGCCTCCTGAGCTAAGATTAAAGGAGTGTGCCACCCTGCCCAGCTGCACAAGTGCTTTTGACCTATCTGTCACATCTGTTACTAAACTATTAGGACAACTGTCACATCTTCAAAATCCCCACATAAAGACCCTTTGGTCATCAAGTTTTAGCTTTCTCAAAATGAGTTATTTCAGAGTCCCTCCCTGGACCTGGAATGGGGTCAGGTCACTCACTGTCAAGGCAGTAAAGCAGAAGACAAGTTTGCTCTGGAGAGGAGAAAAGAAGAACTGAGCTGTGTTATTCTAGAACAGAAGCTTTTAGCCCTACTCAGAGGCTTCTTGTCCACACAGCTGACCTTACTCAACTTAAAACCTGAAAAATCTGCATCTCCAGCTTAATCACTTATTCTCACCTGGAATTTGTATTCTAGTTCACTGGGGTCCGCCTGAAAAACACGTGGGCATCTGTTCAAAAGCTCCGTGATTTGCTGTACTGTGAACAAGCACTTCTCCTTGAGGACCTTCACAACATTGTCAATGTCCCGCTGACGCATGGTGAAAACCTCAGGGCAACCGTGAAGCACTCTCTTTAGTTTCCCTGCAGAATATTAGAAAAGGAAAGCATGTAACTTGAGGATATTCTGGAAAGCCAAGGGCTAAACAACATTTAGGGGCTGGTAGATGGGTCAGTGGATAAAGGCACCTACCACCAAGCCTGATAACTTAAGTTCAATCTCTAGGACCCATATGGTGGAAGCAAACAACTGACTCTAAAAGTTGTCTTATGGCATCCAGATGTGCCCAGAACATGTACAACCACCAAGCACACTTACAGATACACACATACATACATACACACACACACACACACACACACACACACACACTTCGAGAGAGGAAGGGAGGGAGGGAGAGAAGGTATAGGTGTGTGTGTGTGTGTGTGTGTAGGGAGGGGAAGGGAGGGAGAGAGAGAGAGAGAACAAGAATCCCCTCCCCTTATAGGATTAGTAATCTCAGACATCTACATTCTATGAAGCACCGTGGAGATGATTCTTTTCAGATCCAACAACCCACCCTACATCCCTAATGTACCTCCAAGTGTTTTATTGTGAGCTACATTAGTAACTGAATTCAGACAATTAGTATAAATGGGGCTGTCCCAGACAAAGTGGAGTAAATGCTCTTATAATAGTTGGGCCAATTTTCTTATGAATATTGGTAAATTTAATAGCTGGAAACTTAAAAACCACTTAGACTGTTAACTAATTTTCCCATCAGGCTAGTCAGTCACTGTCTCTGTCTCACTGCTGTGTGAAGATGAATTTCCAAAGTACAAGCTTTTTTGTTGTTGCTGTTTTTGGTTTCGAGACAGGGTTTCTCTGTGTAGCTGAGGCTGTCCTGGAACTCACAGAGATCCTCCTACCTCTGGTTCCCAAGTGCTGGGATTAAAAGCGTGCACTATCGAGCCAGGCGGTGGTGGCGCACGCCTTTAATCCCAGCACTCGGGAGGCAGAGCCAGGCGGATCTCTGTGAGTTTGAGGCTAGCCTAGGCTACCAAGTGAGCTCCAGGAAAGGCGCAAAGCTACACAGAGAAACCCTGTCTCGAAAAACCAAAAAAAAAAAAAAAAGCGTGCACTACCATGCCCAGCCAAAGTGTGCACTTTATTTTCACCTCTCAAGCTGTGCTTCAATACTGACTGACACTAAAAGTAAATCTATCAAGAGGAATACAGTTATCTTTTTGCTTATCTTCTAGAAGGAGGCCTCTAGAGACACTAAACATAGTGGACGCTAATCCCCCTACTTACCAGGAACAGTCAATACTAACAAGAAATAAGAGAGGTCAAGAGATCCCCATCTCCCTTCTCCAGAATGACAACAGTTGGAAGGAGGAGGCCACTCTACCAGCTTTCCAGGTCCTGGCACGACCAGGTCTAAAGTTTTGTATGGTATGTTTTTGCAGAGGTCACACATAGGCATACACATATACCACTACCACAGAGCAACATTAACCCACCAAATAGACTTCATGTCCCCACTGTTCTGGAGCTAGAGAACTCAATGAACAGAACACGTGGGACTTGTTTGGGCCTTGGTTCTCTCCTCCTGGCTAATCTTTCATCCCTCTTACAACGCCTTCTGCAAAAGACCCATCACACATCTCCTCAGAGACACTGACCTCTCCTTGGAAAAGTCTCCTACCCCACTTCACCTTACTAAGGTGTGTTTAACCCACAGCCCACATGCATCCCAGGATAGCTATGAACGCAGCCTAACACATTTGTAGATGACATCATGTCACACTATCAAAGGCAAGACACTCTGCTAAGGCAGGCTATTGCTTCACTAACTCTGACTCCTCTCACACGACAAAGTCTGCGGCTTCGTCTACCTCCTCCAAGGCCGAGCTTCCGCAGGTAGCTGGAACGCCTCTTCATTTGCGTTGGAGATAGTTTCAGTAAGTGTGGACTTTTCTTCAAGGCCATAAATACAGGTTCTGGGTGCAACCCCAAGAGCAGAAATTCTGAGATTATGTCCAGCAACTGTTGAGGATGGACACTTGGCTGCATACTGAGCAAGTTGTTAATATGGGCTTCATCAAAACCCATGTTCTGCAGGGAAGTGATAGCTTTCTCAAGCTCCAAGGACTTCGGATCCACACAAGTCCTCTGTTCCTCATGAAGACACTGAACAAGACGCGTCCTGTGCTCTGGCTCCTGCACATACTTTTTGGGTTTAACACAGGACAACTCTTGAAGGCTCTCTCCATTGGGTGCTGTAGTCAGTTTGCAAAACAAAGAAGGACTCATCCTTTTCTGTTCTCTGAGATGAGGGGTATGCCTAGCCAAACAGGCCCAGGAGAGGGCCCTTAGACGATGCCAGTCAAGAATCTGTAAGACAGAGCCAAAACAGAATTAGTTCCATCTCAGGCAAATGACTATCACAAGATTACTGAGCCAGAGTATTTTGGACCTTGGCCCACAAAAGCTAAGTTTTTGTAAACAATCTGTAAAACCTCTGGGCTCAAAGTCTCCAGAGAAGGAAATTAGCATATAGATAATTAGCATATAGATATTGTAGAGATAGGTGTCGGGCACAACCAATACTTTTTAGCTTTAGAGAGGCCTGCTAGTCATTAATATTTGGCTGAAAATTGTGAACCGCAGACTAGGCACCAGATAGAATTCATTCCAACGAAGGATAATCTTTTCAAGGCTCCCTTCCTTTATTAAAGGAAGAATACTCTTGGACAGGAGTCTGACAATTCTCAGTGTTTGGGGCTAGCACATAACAAGTTAAGCACCCGGTGCCCGCCAGACTGGTCTCCAAACCCTCTCTAGCATGGCCAGCCTCCCCCTCCCTCCGTCTTAGCGGTCTACGTCTCCTCAGCCCATGGCCGCCACATTAGCCGAAACTCCGTGGAAGCCAGTGGCTTCTCTCAGGACCGGGCGGTCTGTGCACCCGCCCCCCGGAATCGCTACTGCCACAACGTGGCCGGATGTAGCCGCAAAGAATCAGCGGCAGGGCCGCCTACATGTCCCGCCCACGAATGCTGTGGCACCAGCCCTACCGCACCCTCACCTGCCGACCCAGAGCAGCCATGGAGCCCAGGCGGCGAACGGAACTGGGACACCGGAAGGGGCGGTCCTTCCTGGCCCACAATGTCCGGCCCCCGGTCCGGTTCCGCCGCACTCCCGGGTGACAGAGTTCCTCCGTTCCGCCGCCAAGCCTTAAATCCCACAGGCTCATGCCCTGCGCTACAGCTCCCTTCAGCTACTCAAGCAGGTTTCTGCCAGGAACAAGCAAGACTACCGGGGTTCCTTAACTGCCCTTTAGAGTACCGGTGAAGCTAAACTCACAGCACCATTTCCTGTTGTAAACTACACTTACGGGAGGGCGGGGACGGACGGGACACAAACAAAACCGCACGCGTTAAAGATTCTATAAGGCCAAATAACCTAACTGTAATTGTGGAGCTAGGATGTCGCAGACCAGAACCAAATTATCATGGATCATTTTTAGCCTTTTTGAAATTCATTCACTGTCCACTCTGTCTAACCGAACAGCTTTGTGACTATGAAGGCCTTTAAAATATATTCTCAGACCACCACTGATCTTCACCAATCCAAAAGCTAATGGTATTATTAGTTAACACCTACAATGCTGTAGTAACTTTTCCCAGTTTTGCTCTAGCCTTCCTATCTGTGGTCCCCACTGATGTCTGGTAAATGCCTTGATTATGACTTTGTTCTGTAACTAGTAATAACTCACCTAACTACATCCAGGGTGGAATCTCTTATGAACAACCAAAATTGGTGTTCCTGGGCTCACCCTTTGAAAGTGAGTACTGTTTTTGGTGGACACTGCAATATAGCAATAACTTCTCAGGACAGCCCAAAATTCTTCCTGAAATGGTAAGATGGATCCAGACCCAGATAAAGGTATTTGGTAAGTTGTATTGTTTAAAAATATGTGTTTAGGGTCAGCAAGATGGCTCAGGAGTTAAGACATTTGCCACACCAGCTGGATGACCTGAGTTTGACCCTAGGAACTCATGTAAAAGTAGAAAACTCACTCCACAAAGTTGCCCATTGACTTTCACATATACACAATGGCACACATGCCCATATAATAGTTTGTTTTTTCTTTAATTCTGTATTAAACATGAATACCCGGTCACACACACTAGAAGTCAGTCATTTCAGAGGCTGAAGAGATGGCTCAGCAATTAACAGCACAAGCATAAAGATTTCAGTTCAGATCCCATACCCATATAAAAATCCAGGTGTGGTCCCAAGCATGCCTATAATCCCAGCACCAAGAGGGAAGGAGTCAGGACCAATGGGCTTTAACTGAGTGCCAACCTAGCCAAAAAGAAATGTGGGTCCAGTTATAGGGAAGAGACCCTGCCTCAAAGGAAGTTACAGAGGACACCCAACTGTAACTGCAACAAGTATGCAATATACATACACCACACATACACACACACACACATAAAGATGTCTGCCATTAAAAAAAGATACATGGCCCAAGTAATGAAATGTCTTGAAATGACAGAAAATGTCATATTTCTACTGATAAACCTCTTAGCCCACAGGTCTGATTTCCCATAAGGATGAAACACCAGAATTTTCCAGACCAATCTGTTTCTTCCTGGTTTATTGGCTTATCTGAGAAGAAGACCTGGCTGCTGCATCACTAAACATGTTCCTGCTCTGTGCTGGGCACTGATCTAGTGCTGGAGTGTTTCAACTTACCTGTTGACAGAGCGTTGTGTAAAAGGACAGGAAAGTTGCAATCTGTGTAAAACCAAAGAACTGGTTTCTTTTGTCTTAATTTTGTTTCTAAATAAATATCATTTAGGCCTTTACACCTAAAGCCTAAGAAAACCCTATGCCACCCCTAACTATATGAAAATAATCTAGTAACCTGAACCAATAGCCAGCTCTGGAACAAAGTGATGGCTAGAACACAAGGTTACTATGAAAGTCTGGCAGGGCCTTTAGTCTTCACAAAACTGCAATCTCGAATCAGACTTGAAATTCCAAGAGGAAAAATTATCAGCTGCCAACTCAGAACTTTAATCTCCAATGTTTTCAGGGTTTTTGTTTGGTTTGGTTTTCCTGCAAAGAACACCCATAAGACATCAGACTATTTACCAAAAGCTTTAATTATTTTTTTTTCCTAATATAGAAATGGTTCTTGAAAAGCTGGATTTTGCATCCTCAGCCAGCTACATTACTGTCTGAAAAAAAAAAAAAAACCTGCCTTGTGCTATATGTATTTACAATAAAGACTACAAGGAAAAATGTTTCATTCTCAGAAACAGCTCATCTGAAATCAAAAGCTAAAATGTCACTAACTTCTGGGACTGGACCTGGAAACCCTCACACACAGTCACAGTAGGGCTGAGACCCTTCACCTAAACACGGAGGTACAGTTAGAGCCTTTCACACAGACGAAGCAGAGCTGGGCCAGTCACAGGATGCCTGAAAGTGCTACCAAGGCATGGGTTGATGGATGGCTGATTGGCCTGAAGCCCCAGACTAAACTAGATAGATTTCTTTTTAGCTGTGGTAAGTGGGGTACAGAAATGGAAAAACAAAACCAAGTATTTCCCATGCCCCACCGAGTCCTAGCCAGGGTAACTGTTAATTAATTAAGGACCTTTAATTTGGAAAAAGTTCAAGAAAAGAAACATTCTGGTCATTTTTGTCTAGTCAGCTTTTGTTTTGTTTTGTTTTGTTTTGTGAGACTGGGTTTCTCTGTGTAGCTTTGGCACCTTTCCTGGAACTCACTCTGTAGCCCAGGCTGGCCTCAAACTCACAGAGATCCACTGTGAGTGCTGGGATTAAAGGCGTGAGCCACCACCACCCCGCACTGTCTAGCCAGCTTTATGGACTCCACACATCTATCATACATACCAAATCAGTGGGGAAGAAACACACACACACACACACACACACACACACACACACACACACACACACACAAATCAAAAGAGCTGGGCATGGTGTCACACATCTTTAATCCTACCACTCAGGAGACAGGCAGATCTCTATGACTTCAAGGCCAGCCACAGTTACATGGTGAAATCCTGTCTCAAAAACTTAAAAGCAAAGAACAAAAGAATTAAAATACTCCTTTTGTCTTTCTGAGGCTCACAACTTTAAGCCCTTTTAATTGTACAAAGTAATTGAACACTAGAATGCTTTTTCAAGGTTATAAAAAAAACAAAAACCAAAAAAACGTGAATTACAAGTCTTTCATAAACCGAAAACCAATATATATAGTATTACAGACTTTTGTTAGCACTTGCACAAGAATTCGTAGAAGAGGAATTCATCCCAGTTCTTCAGAATTTCCTTTCTCCACGTAGGAAGCCCTGAATCCGTATAATTTCCCAAACCAAGTGGAGAGAGCTTTCTTTCAGCTGACTGGCAGAGAGGGGTCCTCAAGATGCAGGCCGTGCTGGTCACCAGGAGCCTCCCTGGGAGCAGGAGGCCGACTGAAATCCTTTGTGTGAGCCACTTCACTTGGATTCCTGCTCCCGAGCTCTAAACTTGCAGCTGACAACAGGCCACTTCCTGAAGGATGAAGAAAAGACATTGCATGCTAGCAACAAGATTCTAAAATACTTTGTTTAGGAACAACAGAACTGGGAGACAGTGGGCAGTGACTTCTGAAACCCCAGTAGAGATATTCTGAAAGTACAGATCCTGCTAAGATGCCAGGAGTGATCCTCGTCTCCAGCCTGGCTCCCCAGGAGCTCTGACTTGGGGCTGGGGAGTCTTTTCTAAAGAGACAATCCCCCATCTAGCCCCACAGCATCATGGCCAGCATTTATATCTTACCTCTCTTTGGACCATTCAGACAACCAGCTGACTCTTCCACTATTGCCTTCCCACCTGTCTTGGCCAAGGCTAATAAAAGCGCTTGTCCTCCCTCTAAGCCCCAAGTGACATCTAAGGGTCTCTGCACAGTCAAGCCCCATCTTTCAGGCCAGCCACAGACTCGGGCATTTGTATCTAGAACAGTGTGGGGGAAGGGCCTCATCCAGGAAGGAGGCCGGGTCACCTTCCTATTCCAAAACAAGACGCAGGGGAAAGGGAGGGAGGAGAAGGGGAGGCTGAGACTTCTCACCTGGCTGGTTGGTCCGACACACCTCTTCCCAGGTGTAGTTAGCAAGGTTCACAGGCTGTGTCACCCAGGGGTCTATGATCAGCTTCTCTAAAGTGGTCCGCTGCTCAGGGGAAGGATGCAGCAGCCCAGACAGAAGATTCCTAAGTTCTAGGAACATAAAGAACACAGGTGGAACCAGGCCAAGTCAAATGGAACACATCTCAGACCTATAGATTTCAGGGTATGTATCCTGCTTCACAGAAGCTCTCACAAAGCAAGGAAGCAGCCAGGAGTCCTAGGGCTTCAAGGCCTGGCCTGGTTTTCTCAGAAAATACCTTTATGAATCTATCACCTCTAAAATGGAAGCATGGAAGCTGAGATCCAGCTCAATCAAACCTGCTGTGGAACAATCCTTCTGTACATTGTGAATATGTATTACTCTCATTGATTAATAAAGAAGCTAATTGGCCTATAACAAGGCAGGGCAATCACACTGAGGATGCTGAGATAAAGGACAGAGTCAGGAGGAATACCAGCCAGCCACCAAGAAAGCAAGACATATAGAAAATGAGGTAACAAGCCATGAGCCACATGGCAAAGCACAGATAAGAAATATGGGTTAATTTAAGTGTAAGAGTTAGCTAGTAACAAGACTAAGCAATGGCTGAACATTTTTAAGTAATATTAAGCCTCTGTGTGATTATTTGGGAACTGATGGGCAGGACAGGAAAACTCCGCCTACACAAACCTCAAATGGCTGCTTACAAGGTGTGTTGACTAGTTTTATATCAATCTGACACAAACTTAAGAGTTATTTAAGAAGGAACAACTTCGACTGGAAAAATACCACCACCAGATTGGCCTGTGGGGCATTTTCTTGACAGAAGTAGGAGGGCCAGTGTGGGTGGTGCCACCCATGGGATAGTGGTAATGGGTATTATAAAAAAGCAGGATGAAGCTGGGCAGTGGTGGCACAAGCCTTTAATCCTAGCACTCTGGAGACAGAGGCAGGTAGATCTCTGTGAGTTTGAGGCCAGCCTATAG